ATTCTAACCATTTTCTGTTAGAGGAGTCAATGTGTATATATATACCTGCTGGTACACTCCAGCTCAGTAGAAAAATTAAGAAAACAGATTTTCCCTCTCTTCTTCCCGCTTCCATTTTCCTTCGTTCTTTACATTTTATTAATAACTGATATTAAGAGCTTGTTTGGGAAGAATTAAAATTCAATTAAAATTGAAAATATAGCCGTTATTGGGTCCCACTCGTTTAATAAAAGTCAACTTCAACGGCTATATTTTCAATTTTAATCTGATTTTAATCCATCCCAAACAAGCTCTAAGATTAGAATCGAGGAATCGGACCTGACAGATCGAGGTTGCTTTGTCTAAATGATTCCTTGTGTCTTTTCACTTCTTCTCAAAATTACCACTTTGTGTTTAATTAACGATGTTATTTGCTGAGTAATTAGTAACTACATGATATAAATAACATAATACACGTTATTGATTACATCAGACCCAATTATATTCATTGAAAACTGGTCGATTTTATGAAAATTGACAATCTGATTTGATTAAATTGAAATAAAGTTGATGCTACATTAAAAATATTGTTTTTTATGCACATACACACAAGATGCTAAGCAATGATAAATGGAGACAGTAGACCTCGGCTAACACTTGAGATGTCTCCTTGTGCAAGAGTCTAAACAAGTAGAGCATGTCACCATATAGCCCCAGTTTGGTTGGGATTAAAATCTTGATTTTAATTAAAGTTAACGTTAATAATTAATTATAACCATATATTTTATGAGATCTACAACTTTTCAAATATATATTTCATCAATTTTTATCGAAATCTACTGAAAGTATGATTTTAACTCCACCAAAACAGCGGCATAATGACATGCAGTTATCACTGTCTATTAACCCAGGATGACAGATTGCTTTAGTAAGCAAATCAACTCCCTGCTGATCATCAGATTGGTGTATGAATCACTGCTTTACTTTATCAAATCCCATAGATTGTTTGTAACTAACGCCTTAACTTTTCAGAAAGGACAAGTCTGGGAAAGACTTTAACGGTGCCTGCAGTGAGAAAATATCCAATATATACAGAAATGTACATCATCAACTT